GGCTGCTGCCTTGCTGCAGGTCTTTGCCACCTTGCACTGGATGGTGAATTCCAGCAGGCGATGATCACTGTCGCCCAGGTGGTCGAGCACCTGCAGCCCCCTCACCAGGTCGTCATATGAGGGGGTGGGGTGCATTTGGAGCCTTGTATTTGGCCAGAGGGCAGCCTACTGTGCATGGTCAGTAGCCACATGGGCACACACTGTACACAGAATAGGATTAGAAACTGCAGAAGTGCCAAAGATGGGTACACAGCTGCATAATTGCCATTTGGGTAAGTGAGATAGGATTTTGCCCAAAGTGCACATACTTCTTGCATGGTTGCTGAGCCTGCAGCTGCCTCTCCTCCAACATAATTTGGAGGCTTAAATCTTATATAAAGGGGCCAAGCACCAGCTGTCTGGACCAAGATGAACTTTGTCCTTAATGAAAAAGGAACCCTATTGAATAACTTACACTTAAAATGTCACCAGTCTTAAATTGTAATAATTTGAGAGATGTCCTCTTGGATTCTAGGTATCCATTTACCAGTACTTAATTCCATCAACACATTTAAAACGATGTTGCGCTCTTGCGTCCACTCTGCTGGTTCTCTGCAGCTACACAATCCATTTTAATTATTGTTAACACTGTTTGTTATCTAATAGCTGCTGCCAACTAGAAGTTGCACAAAATAAAGACCTGTATGGTTTCAAAAGGGGAAGAGTCAGTGACTGCCAACTGTTAAACTGGTGTATTTTCAGGCTACGAAGGTATCGGTACAGACAAAAAGACAAGGCCTCTTTATATGTAAACTTGCTGGCCATAACTCATGTTTCCCTGTGTTGGACAATGTAAAGAGTGAAATAAGTGGAGTGATGAGAAAAATGACCCCTTTGCTTAATGGAACTGCAGTGGTTCTGTGGCTAAATGATCCTGGTTGAATTTGTACATTAGAATTGCTGTTTCAGCTTGTCTGCTTGTAGACTCAGGAAGAAAGCACTCAATCAATATATATTTGGAAAGTTATCTTTTTAAAACAGAAAGCCAAAAATATATTTTTAAAAATATATATACAAATTTTAAATCTGCAGAAAATATAAGGAATAGGGAGAATGGAAACCCCATACATGGTAGGTTTGGGGATTTCTGTTTGAAAATTTTCAGGCATGTGTTACATGGAAGCTTGCTTCTCTCTCCTATATCCTGCTTATCTCAAAATACTAAAATGACAAAACTAAGCCTGTGTAGATCTTGGATT